CTATAGTCTCCTATCTCCCATTCAAACATATTAAAACCATACTGATTTTTTTTCACCGACCTTGCCATAAAATACCATTGCCATAGTTTTTCTTTCACCAGGAGAAGGTGAAAGATGCCAAGTTGGCCATCGACTTCAAGTTGTCCCAGTGGCTTCCACTGCAAGACCGTCGGAGAGGTCTGGCTGCTGTAACCGCGGCGGCGCCGGCGCCGCTGAGCAGCGAGTTTGGAGCTCGGGAGATGGGAAATTTCCGGGGGTGGACAATGAACTGATTTAGTGAACTGAAATAACATGATGGAGATATATGAAAATAATGAGGTATAATGACATTAGATATATAATGATATTCAATATATATGACATATATATATACATACACTGATACTAAGGGCTAATAGTTGGTAACACGTCACCGCTATCGTCGTCGTCATCATCATCACTCAAGGAAAAGGGCCCAAGAATGCAGCTGTGGATGTTCAAGAGACCGAAAAATGGCAACTATTGGTGGATGAGTACCCTCTGGTAAACAGCCACATAGCGAACTGGAAAATCACCATCTTTAAGAACGGTAAATCAACTATTTCTATGGGCCAGCTATTCAATAGCTATTTTGACATAAAACCAGAGGGTAGACCATGAAAATTGCCATTGAAGCAAGTTGAGTCCCTGAAAGTGGAGTAGCTAAATCATCCTAAATCATCCTAAATCCACTGGTCATTCATGCGTGTCCCCTTTCAATGGGCTGCCTGATTTTCAGACACCTTTTCAGGTCGGGCCTATGGGCGAGACAGTCTGCACGAGGCTCCCAAAAATCCGGAAAAAGCGATGGTGATGATGATGATGATGATGTTTATTCATTGTTGTTGTCATGATACGAGCGTGCGTCTTTATTTGCAATGATCATCAACATAGAATTCTCATTGGTGAGGAAAGTCACCGGTGAAGGAAATCGAGGATTCGTCGGCCGTTCCTTGGATGTTTGCGTGTCGGATGGCAGCTACAGAGGTTCAACGGTTAACTGTACTTGGGTATGTCACGGTATGTCTGAAAATGGAGGATGAAACCCCAACTTATGTTCATTTTAGCCAGTTGTGATGCCCGAAAAAACTCTGACAAACCCGCGTTTGCATGAGTCCTGTTTGGTCCCGTGTTTTTGTATAATTGTGAGCATTATGAACCCCAAAGTGACTTGAAGACAGGTAGATGGGATTTTGCATTTGAAGGAGGGTGTCCGGTAAGGAAATAATTATACTGTTGATGTTTGATCATGAACAATGCCATTCAGGAGCAACATTTTTTTCCACCAGTGCCCTTTTTTACGGTCCTAAGCCATACTGGGTTGAAACCAGCAGTCACAAAAAAAAATACCATCTGGTTATGACTAACATAGCCATGGTTAAACGATGGCCCTAATCGAAATAGATGGGCCATACCGTTCTTAATAGCATGGGTGGACCTTTCTATGGCGAACTCTTAAATAATCAGATGGTAGTTGTTTCTGATTTTTTCAGGTATGCGAAATTTCTATATTTCGCTAAACAAATCTGAGCCTCTCGAGGTCAAAGTTACGGGCGGCCTGTTGTGAGCGGACATGGCAACAAATCAGCATTGAAATAAGTGGATGACATAACCAGTGGGAAATTCAGGATCCTAAAATGGAGGTACCTACCATATATATATATATATATAAGGCCATATAAGTCCTATATAAGTAAGGCCTATGTAAGTGAATATCACCACAAAATATGGCCTGGAATTCCCATTGACATAATGCGGTGGGTGAGAACTGTGATGAAATGATCTTAAGACAATTAATGAAAATTAAGGATTGGCAGGTCGAAGTCTTTAGAGCATTTTCTCATGGGTCAGAACGAATACAGCCATTGAATCTTTTAGCTGATCTTCAGATGCCCCTGGGAGCGCGTGTTCTAGTCATTGCTGCGGCTTGTTTGCCTCAGAAAAAGGCTAGCGCGGGTTGAGTCTGAGGTTTCCTTGCCGTCCTCCCTTGCGACCCGACTGGTAAGCCGTGTCATGCCATGTCAGATGTCAATAGAAAATCAGTTCTGTCATTGATGTCAATTGGATACCCTCTGGTAAACAGCCACATAACTATGGAAAATCACCATTTTTAATGGGAAAATCCACTAGAAATGGCCATTTTCAATAGCTATTTTGACATAACCAGAGGATACCAATGGATTCCAGTCGCCAGGATCCCAATGGGAAGTTCCAAATGTTCCATTGCTGGTGCTTCACTGGGACGCACCGTTCTCCTTGAAGGTACTCCCTGCAACTGGATTGGGAAAACTGGCGCCTATACATATGAATATGAATATATATATATAGATATATATATATAGATATATCTATATATATAGATATATATATATATAGATATCCACAGAAAAGCTATAGAAAGCCCATGGAAAACCCGTAGCAAACCCATTCTCCATGGCACTTTGTCACCGAAAGCCAACATCAATTTGCACATCTACTCGGCCCATGTCACGTCATGGGACTGCCCGTGGGAGCGCCGCGAACCGACGAAGTCCAGTGGCAGTTGAAAGCAACGAAGCTTTCGAAGCGTTCTATCGAAAGCAGGGGGTGGTTGCTGAGGAGATTGGATGTTCTATTCAATTTCTATGTTTTTTTTTGTTTTTTTGGTTTAACGGAAACATGAGATGTTGATTGAGCAGTTGAGCACTGGGGATTTAGTGGATATTGGGAAAACTGTGGAATAATTGTGGGATATGAATCGGGATATGGAGATTTAGTGGCATAATGTGAATCATATGGGGAAGTTACCCTCTGGTAATTTAACATAGCTATTGAAAATGGCCATTTATAGTGAGTTTTCCCATTAAAAATGGTGATTTTCCATAGTTATGTTAGTTTACCAGAGGGTAGCTCTCCAGATATCTCCAAAGAATCCAACCGTTTGCGACACCCTGTAGGAGCTTTGGGATGATTTCATACAGACCTTGCGAACACCGATGCCCGTGGTGGTGCGTATCAACCGGACCAAACCACATTGGGAGGAGATGCGACCAGACCGGCGACCGGACGCGTTTTCGCGATGTTCAAAAATATCCACAGAAGTCATTGGAACATGAAAGAATGAACAATGCATTTTTCAGAATTTGGGGAATGGATCCGCACAGGGTTCACATATCATATGTGCATATATCATAATATATATATATAGCTCCAATAATACCTATGTTTTATGTATATTTCCATGGCATACTCCATATATGTTCCACACATATCATCCCTTTCAGTTGCGCAAACCCATGGCAGGAGCTTCACAACTCCTTCGCAGAGGACCTACGCTGGTCGCAACTGCCGTGGTTTCCCGGCGCCTGGCAGTGCGACGCCAAGGACTACGACGATGCGCTGCGGTCGCAGTGCTCGGCACTGAACAAGTCCTATGCCCTGCGCTTTCAGGAGAGGGTTGGGTGGGGAATGGCTGGGATGGTCCTGGTTGGTTGGTCCAATACCTTCTGGTAAACTAACATAGCTATGGAAACCCACCATTTTTACTAGGTAAATCAACTATAAATGGCAATTTTCAATAGCTATGTTAAATTACCGGAGGGTAAATGATGTCATAAATGATCAATTTATGGTGAATCATTTTTCAGCAAACTTATTGGGGGAAGTCTTCCAGATAATTGGGGGATTTGGAAGTGGATTTTTGGTGGGATTTCATGGGGATCAATTGGGAAATCAACCAAAAGTCATTGGGAATACTGGCAACATCATGGAATTACCCTCTGGTAAACTAACATAGCTATGGAAAATGATCATTTATAGTTGATTTACCTATTATAAATGGTGATTTTCCATAGCTATGTTAGATTACCAGAGGGTATCAGTCCTCTGGTAATTTAACCTGACACTTGAGAGATGGATTTACCATGATTTACCCCAGAAAAAAGGCCCATGGATTTGTAGCTCAAAACTCATGACTCATGTCCCCCTGTCTGTTGGGCCCAGTGGGTAATTGTTCCATGGAAAGTGGTGATCGTTGAAGTTTTTTGAGTCACCTTCAGATGCTCTATTGACATGTGAATGTGATGAGTCAAATATTTCTTGGTGGAGCCATTTGTTGGCGATTTTGGTTGCAGTGTTGATGATCTCCTGATGTATGTATGGTCACCGACAGAATTATGGAAAAAAAAAACGTTCAACTTAGACAGGCGGCGCCTGCGTCCGATTTTTCCACAATTAGGTTTTTCCCCATAAGGGTTCAAAATATCCCGGAAGTGATCCGAACCTTTTTTTTTCCATAATTCTTGGAGGTGGCCATTATTTCCATAATTGATTTTTCCTGTGAAATCAGGGGCTAGGGCAGATTGATCGGTTTTTCCATAATTATTTTTTCCATAATTAATGTTTGGGGCTCCACCTGTTGGACATGTCATGGATCTTTAGACACATATTTTCTATATAATTGCGTTAAAATGCATTCAAATGGAACATCACATGATATTATGTATATCAATGGCAGGCTTTAGGGGCATATACCAGATCTTTAGACACATATTTTCTATAATTCAGTATTCCCCCTTAAAATGCATTCAAATTGCGAACATCACATGATATTATGTATATCAAGGGAAGACTTAGGGGCATATACCAGATCTTTAGACACATATTTTCTATAATTCGTCTATATTCCCCCTTAAAATGCATTCAAATTGCGAATCGATGGACATACAGTCACCGACAGAATTATGGAAAAAAAATAATTATGGAAAAAATAATTATGGAAAAAAAACGGTTCGTAACTTTTCTATCATAGACAGGCGGCGCCTGTAAATTGAAACGTTTTTTTTTTCCATAATTCTGTCGGTTCCTGTAGTCTTGACACATCTTGATGGGATTGGCCCAATTGACCCCTTCCAATTTGATGACACGGACGAGACAGATGTTTTCCCCCATGGCCCCAGGAAGCTGCATCATTAGTGCCGCCCTTGCTACTGGAGGTGCCACATCCACGATCTTTGCTTTGGGAACATGAATGAAGATGAACCATTTATAGGTGATTTAAGTAAAGATAGCTGTGCTGCTTGGTGGTTTGGAACATGTTTCTTATTTTTTTCCATCATATTGGGAATGTCATCATCCTAACTGATGAAGTCCATCATTTTTCAGAGGGGTAGGGCTCAACCACCAACCAGAATGTTATTAACCACCATTAACCATATAATAACCATATTAACCATTATTAACCATATATTACCAACCAATGGTAGGGCTCAACCACCAACTAGTATGACATTGCCATAACATTTGTTACCCAGGTGCCTTCGCCAGGTGAAGCCTGCAGATTTGCTATTGGACCTTTGTGCCGCACCAGGTGCAGTTTTTCGGAAACAACTTGGCCACCCAAAAAGATCCAAAACGGTGAAACTCTTTGGGAAACACATGGAAAAACCATAGGTACCGGGTGGATCCAGGCGGGATATTTTCGGTGATTTTCTGTGGTATCTTGATATTTCTTGATATTTCTTGGATTTTTTTGGAGAGTCTTGGACTTTGCACTGGAATTCCAATGTGTTCCCCTTCTTTTGGGGGGGGAGAAGGGTTCAGATTGGGTTCCAGGCAGCAAAACCTTGGAATGCATCGAACTCATGCGGGAGAATGGCCACAAGTCATCTCAGGTCGTTGGTCGATGTGGGTCGGCTGTGGCTCTGGTCATCTACGCAGTGTGACTGTCCGACTGTAAGGCTTATGTGTATCTGATGGGTCAAACTCACCCTTGGGGCATTATGGTCATTTATCATTTAGTTTAGATGATTCAAAGGTCATCATCGTAACAGATTTTTGACGAACATCTAAGAAGCCGCCAGAACGATGGCCTAATAAGGTTTGGCACCAACATGTGCCAATCAAAGGACGACAGCTTTTGTCTCCAACTTCCCCATGGAACATTCCCCAAAAAGCCGCGTAGGATGGGGAAACTGGTGTGGTCATTGCCAATGACGCGGATGCTGAACGCTGTTTCGAACTCTTGCCCCTCATCACGCGCAAGGCGGGGAGCATCCGACCTTGGCTGGACATGGCATCCATGATGCCATGGCATGGAACGGATGATTTCACTGCTTGGGTATTGCCGGTATGCCCCGGTATGGCTTGAAATGAAATTTCACCCATAGCATCCCACAAAATCCAATACACATTTAAAATGCTTTTGGTATAGGTTTGAGACTTAGATTCGTTGTCACCTCTTTGACTGAACTGCTACTGATATTGTGGAAGAAATCCTGCACCACATCATGACATGATCATCCCACTATTTACAGTGTTTGATAGTTACCAAGAATGACAAAACCATGATTACCGGTGTAGGTTTTGTCCACAGTATGTTCCAACAACTTCCCCTTAAAGCGTAAATTTCGACGCGTGGGCGTGCTCCTCGGCAAGGCTCGCTATCCGGGTTGCGCAGTGGTCCTGGGAAACGGTGCCAAGTATCCAGCGCAGTTCCGAGGTCAAGACGACCAACTGCTGCGACTGGGATCCGGTGAAGGGAGGAAGCCAAGGAGTTACAGTAAAAAACAAGTTAGAACCCATAGATAACCCATAGATATCCATAGTGGTTACCCATATTTATCCAAATATGTCCCATGAAATGGCGCTGTAGAGCTACTAAGAGTTTCCAGATCAAGGCACTAAGTGCAGCCAGAAGGTCGCCCTTTGGATCCAAGATGCAGCCGGCTCCTTAAGAATGGAACAAGTACATACAAGTACATCAATCTGGGTAAATTATACCGACCTCACTGTGACCGAGCCCTCTTATTTGATTCCATCCCAGTTCGGGATATCCAGTTTTTGGTCCATAGCCATTTTTTCGGAGTTTAGCTAGAAAAGCATCGGGGAATGGTAGTTCATGGTCATTGATAGTAGTTGATTGGCAAGTTCAACTGAAGTAACTTCAACATACTTCAACTACCTTTGTAGCACATGTGTGGAAAAAGCAGGGGTGTTGTTTTGAGCTGCAAAAACACGACGATATCAAGATTGACACATTGATCAGCTTGCCAGGATATTTGCCGCGAGATTTCCGGCTCAGAAAGTGTTGCTACGACGGGCAAAAATGATTTCCGTCGAGACATGTTTCAACTGAGTATAGCTTTGCCGAGTGGACAAACTGAGATCATTTCAATTCCACAGTCCTCCAAAGTAGGGGACTTGACAATTCTCGCCCAGAAAACCTTCGGATCCTGCGGCTTCCTGCGGTTGCTCACAGCAAGCGGACATGCCCTGACTGATTCTGTGGCATCTTTGTCAGCTGCTGGGCTGCAGGATAGAGACCATCTTACTGCTCTTGCAGTTCAAGGAAGTATCGCCGCAACACAGGAAGCCTTTGCTTTGTGGTGCTGTGGAGGTAACAGGATCGTTGCTTGGGGCGCTCCAGATTCTGGTGGCGACAACTCTGCAATCCAAGATTTGCTGAGGAATGTGCAGCAGGTTAAGGCCTTGAAAACAGGATTCCATGCTGGTGCCATAACCAACGGTGCATTTGCTGTGATTCTGGCAGGTGGCTCCGTTATTACATGGGGGGCGAGCACGGCAGGTGGTGACAGCTCTGCGGTACAAAATCAGCTCAGGAGTGTGCAGCAGCTTCAGTCCACAGCACAGGCATTCGCTGCCATCCTGGAAGGTGGATCTGTGGTGACATGGGGCTCTCCAGCGCATGGTGGTGACAGCTCTGCAGTACAATGTCAGCTAGGCCACGTGTGCCAGATTCAGGCTACATCGCAAGCGTTTGCTGCTGTCTTAAAGGACCGATCAGTGGTGACATGGGGCAATGCGTATTTTGGTGGTGACAGCTCCACTGTGCAAGATCGGCTCCAAAGAGTGCAGCAGATTCAAGCCAATGGTTTTGCCTTCGCCGCGATCCTGGAAGATGGATCTGCAGTGACATGGGGCATTGAAAGCTACGGTGGTAACAGCTTTACAGTACAAGATAAGTTGAAGAGCGTGCAGCATGTTCAGGCCACCATGTTTGCATTTGCTGCGATCCTCGCAGATGGATCCGTGGTTTCCTGGGGTTCTCCTGCACACGGCGGGGACAGCTCTGCAGTCCAAGATCAGCTCAGAGATGTGTGCCAAGTGCAGGCCACAGCGTTGGCTTTTGCTGCGATCTTAAGGGATGGATCTGTGATTGCGTGGGGCTCGTCAGATCATGGGGGTGACAGTTCTTCCGTCCAAGGTCAGCTTAGGAGTGTGCAAAAGCTTCAGGCTGCAAGAAATGCATTTGCTGCAATTCGGGAAGATGGATCTGTGGTTGCCTGGGGTGATCCTGAAAATGGTGGTGACTGCTCTGGTGTTCAAGACCAGCTCAGGCGCGTGAAGCAAGTTCAGGCGACACTATATGCGTTTGCGGCAATCCTAGATGATGGTTCCGTGGTCACGTGGGGCAATCCTGCACATGGCGGCGACAGCTCTGCAGTCAAAGGTCAGCTGAAAAATGTGCAGCAAGTTCGGGCTACATCGCTTGCCTTTGCCGCGGTCTTAAAGGATGGTTCAGTCGTGACGTGGGGCAATCATACAGCAGGGGGTTACCTGCCTGAGGGACAGCATTTGTTTCTTTAGGAAAATGCCGGCTGCTTGGTGCGTCAATCCGTCCATGTTCAGGGTCACAGTCACAGTACCCAGTGCTATCCATACGATTCCATTGGTTGTGATTGATGCTCCATCAATTCTTGAGATGACTGGGGTCCCCAAAGGATGTTGTTTGGGAACTAGGGGACCCATGATATCATGGTTAATAAGAGGAATCATCCCAAAATGGCCAACCAGCTTAGTGAATTATGATAATTTGCGCAGATCAATTAACAACAGGTTTGAGTCAATATTAATCAACCAATATCAACCATAAACCCATGCCGGGTCCATGAATTCCACCATCTTGCCGTGGACACTTTCTTGCCAGGTTGGACCGGGATGATCGAAGATGTTTGTAACCTGTAGATCCCAGGGTATCCGGGCAGATCAAACACTTCAAAAAGTGGAAAGTTTGAGGTTATCGCTTGGGATCAAGATCATCTTTTCAATATCAAATCCTTTGGAATTCCTGATGGTATAGACCTTGTTGGTATGTTTATTCCAGATCAATAATATCAATATGGGCTCCAAGAAAAAATCACTCAACATATCTCAAGCTCATGAACTCCTGGCAGGTATGACAAGGTGCTTTGCGACGTCCCGTGCAGTGGTGATGGCACTCTCCGGCGGCGACCACACTGTTGGAAGTCCTGGTCGGTGGACCTTGGGATACCGCAAGGGTGTGGATGGCGATGGGGGATGCCATGGATGTCATCAACCAAGGCTTTTTTGGAACATTTATGAAGATCATATCTATATCATCTGGTTGGTGGTTTGGAACATGATTTTTCATGACTTTTTTGGAACATTTATGAAGATCATACATTTATGATCATTTATGATCATTTATCTGGGTAAATTATAGCGACCTCACTGTTCTCCCGAGCCCTGGAAATCATGGTTAAGAAGGGGAATTCATCGCCAAATGGCCGCAAGATTCAGGTTAGTGAAATAGTGTAATTTACCCAGATTTATGATCATTTATGAAGATCATATATATATATATCATATCTATCCCTAAAATTGAGAAGACCGCCATGAGCACATGAGCATCATGAGCAGATGATGGGCACAGGATGTGGATGATCCACCTGATGCTTGTTGATTGGGTGTGCTGCCTTTTTGTGTTCTAAGATGGCGATGTTCAGCAAGGTTGATGTTCTGATATCATTTGATATTTATGGGCAACATATGCCATCCACATGACATCGGTAAACTAACATAACATAACATGGAAAATCGATCCACCATGCTATTAATGGGGAAATCCACTATTTCGACTGGGCCATTTTTCAATGGGTAAATCCACTATAAATATTATAAATGACCATTTTCAATAGCAAACTTTGAGTTTGCCAGGCCGGGTAGTTGACCAGGCCGGGTATCAGAAATTCCCATTTTGTGCTTGCGATTCCGTCATCGATCCAGGACTTTCCCTTGACTTTGCATCAGAAACAGCTACTGATCCTCTGTCGCGGCCTGCACTTGTTGCGACCGGGTGGGCGCCTGGTCTACTCCACCTGCAGCATGAATCCCATTGAGAATGAGGCGACGGCCGGGACGGTGGGAGGGGTGGCAGACATCTTCGCTTTAAGCGGTTTAAGCATGGTTTAACCATGATTACCCTCTGGTAATCAGACATGGTTTGTTGGAAAATCAAGCATTTTTTGTGATTTTCCCAGCTCTAACTCCAACCCTCTATCAGCTTGCCATGTTTGATTATCGAAGGGTGACCACTATAATATGGTAGAAGATCCACTTCAAGATCAAAAGTCCTGTTCTTAATGGATCATGGAGGTAAAAGAAAGTAGCTAATGTGCGAAACTCCATGCTAAAACGCTCTATACAAGCCACAGATCCAGGCAGTGGTGACTGCTGCCCTGGCTCGCTTTGGCGGCGACGTTCGCTTGGCACCCAGCGATTTGCCCAAGGAGTTGCGGGTGGCGAAGTGTCTTCAGACTTGGTGGGTGCCTGATCCTCAAGATTCAGGCGGGATTGGATATGATTGGATGGCCAACTGCTATTCAGATATTGATGATAAATCGTATTATCATGTGGTATATCATATGTTTATATATAATTATATATGTATTTTAACAATGTTCCATATGTTAACAATAACTTATTGTATGCTGATTTCCCTGAGGCGATGGAGAGAGACAGAGATACGATGAGATACGTTGTTTCATAGTTGTTTCATGGTTATGATAAGAGTTTATCATACATGAAGCAACTGGTTGTAAAAGTATACTATGTTGCATAGTTCTTGGAACCATACTGGTTTTCCCAGACATGGTACTTATTGGTGATGTCTACCATTGTCTTCTCACCACCTAGTGATGTCGAATGGGAATAGGACACTGGATATTTTGCCACAAGGGGTAGGTGGAACGAACAGATGTCCGAAAATATTCTACAGTTGCTCCCTTGCGGATATTCACCAGGTTGGAGAACAGAAGCCATCCGTCCATACAGCACACAGGGGGGCTGCCATTTGATTGCCACTGGCAGGCTGCTTCTACAAGTCTTGGACGGAGGTGCCAACATCGCAACGAAAACCTTCGGGGATTTTGGTAGAAAGTATGTTCAGCTCTGGCGAACTTGATCCACGTGGATGTTTTCGACTGATTCGCAGTTGACAGTTGGAGGGTTGGATGAGTTTGGTGTTCCCCACTTGGCAACTCTTGTACGAGAATAGTTCGATTGGTTAGAGTTAGATTTACTTAATTATAGTAGGATTATATATATGTGTAGCCATGAGATGTCATGAGTGTTGCAGAAGAATGGGGCCAATGCTTGCCATCCAAGGAATCCGCATGAAATTGATGGGTCTGGTTTCTTCGTGGCAATCTTCACCAAAACTGCGCATCGAAGCTTTCCGGTGCAGATTCCATCATCTCGCCTGATGCCGGAGATTCCTTGGAGGGCTAGGAATGAAAACAATCGCTATACCGTGGTCTCAACTGACAACTCGGATGTACAATCCATTGCCACTTCGCTCGCGTTTTTCATTCAAAGCTTTTTGGCATTGAGATGTGTGGCATACCCAGAGATTAAATCTGGTCACTCTTTTGGCACCTGATTTCCACTGCTGTTTGTTGCTGCAACGGATTTCCTTTTCATCACTTGAGGTGAAATTCTATGGCCTGCGAGACTTACCCGAACCGTTGGTGGCAGAGTACAACATCAAGGGCAAGTTGACCCAACTGAATCTGGTGAATTCTGCTCTACTTCAGCTTTTGCAAAGTCATTTGAACTGCAAAGGCTCCCCTTTGTTTCTCGAAGCTGGTTTCAAGATGTTTCAAGTAATGTGGTGAAATCCAATGATAAACCCTGCCCAGCTGCCTGATTTGGGATGTAAAAATCACCAGAGAGGTTTGCTATTGGGATAGTTTAGTATTGGCCTTGCCTTCCCCAGAATTTTGGTGATCATTTTATATCATATTTCCTTAGATCACGATGTTGGTCACTGTTGGTCATGTTTGAGCCTTTGCTTGTTCACCAGGTTGGTATCCTTAGGGATCCCCTTGTTCAAAGTCTTGGATGACAACTTCATGACCAACATCGACGTGCCGCGTTGGCGTCCAGCCATGGAAGGGGCCCAGATTTTGGCGCAGAAGATGGAGAAACGGGTGCTGCGAATCAGCTTGGAACAGATGAGGACAGGGGGTGTTTCATCAGTGACTCAGCTGGCCAGGCCCCAGCTATGGCATGCTATGGCCCAGCTGGGGCCATATCTGGCCATGGCAGGATCAAAGAGGTTGGACCTCGGAACTTCATCAAGTTTAGACTCCAAAAAGCCGGGCCGGGATTGTCCAAAAATACAAAAATCATTTGAAGAAACAACCAGAGGCGGTTTCTTAGAAGTCTTGTGTGGCTTTGTGGAGCTATCAAGTTCTGTTTCTACCCAGTTTTCGACTTTTCTTTTTTCGCGATCAGCAGGAAGTTATTGATGAAACGACTTCTTCCCATGCAATCCTTGCTGACTTTGGGAACCGGCAATGAGTTGAAAGGTCTGGAGAGTTGTGAGGAGAAGTTGGGTGGCGCCGTGGTGGGAACGATGGACGGAACCTTCTGGGTGCCCTGCATCATCACAGGCTGGGCAGATGGTGGTGGGACTATGGTAAAACATGGCGTGAAACCCTGCGTTGATGCATTTCCTGATGGTTTTTTTTGGGTGGTACATGGTGGTCATTTTCCAACTGAAGAATCTATTGAGATGGGAGACCCAAAAAGACGATTTTTGGGGATCAACTTTCTTGAGCAGGCAGCGGGCTGGAACTCTATGCCTCTCTGGAGGAGGTTGGTGATCCCCTTCCCAAGTTGTTACCGCCTCTGCGGCCACCGGTGATCTCCGCAACGGAGGAGGTGATGGTCTTGGACAAACCCAGTGGCCTTAGAACGGAGGATGCCTTGCGTGCCATGATGGCCATGATGGGGTGGAATGGAGTTTCCAAAAGTTGAAGTGCCATGAAGTGCCCCTGGTTTTTGAGATTTGGGGTAAGGGAACAAACTGACACTAGGATTTTTCGGAGAATGTTGGGACTTTAAGTGGATGCAAGCCGTTTTTTTGTTTCCAGAGGAAATTTTGGAGTAGAGGCATCCAAAAGCCCAGTTTTTTGGTGAGTCTGTGGTTCTGCTTGAAATGCTGAGGTTTTGTTCAGCAGAAGCATCCAGGCGCCGAGCTGGTTTCCAGGTTGGACAAGGAAACCAGCGGATGCCTATTGATCCCCCTGACAGCGTTGAGCGCGAAAGAGTTCACACAACAATTTGCGGAAAACAAGGTGGGATACCCTCAGAGATGGCTGGAGATTCCCTATTTCTTTATCCATTTTCTATGCAAAAAAGATGTGCAAATGATGCAAATTTGGCGGATTTATGGATTGTAGGCGGAGACCATCTATTAATGGATGTAAATGCGGGATTCTTCATTGCTAGATTGAAGTACTAGGAGGGTGGGATGAGATGATGGGAATGGGGGGCCTTGGAGACACAATGATGTCATTGGTGTTAGTTACTGTTAGTTGTCAAGTCCTGAGCTTAGGAAATGACAACATCATTCTGGGTAAATTATAACGACCTCACTGCGACCTCACTGGAATTATGGTTAATACGGGAAATCATCCCCAAATGGCCGAACCATTCAGGTTAGTGAAATATTATAATTTACCCAGATCATTAAAAAGCCCCCAAAAGCCTCAAATATCAGATATGGTGCCGGCCCCGGCCCCGGGCTCCAGGGCTCCAGCCCCTGAGCCCCGGGCTCCAGCCCCTGGCTGTGTCGTGTCAGGTGCAGAAGTGCTACGTGGCCGTGGTTCATGGCCATCCACCTGAGAAGGGTCACATTACAGAAGCACTGCGCTTGGTACAGCTGGGGGGTGGCACCAAATACCGCGCCTTTGTGGATGACACTGGGAAGGTGAGAAGATGTTGGAAGATGTTGTGGGCCGAATTTGGGGAGCATCAAGGATGGCGAATCTTCACCGGCTATAGACATTTATAGGCTATATATATATTATATATATATGGGGGAAATGTGGATCGGGAAACAGGATCCAAGTTTCAGGTGCTAGGTACCTCAAGCCTGGTTCCCGCAAGATGTCAGGCGGCAAGCACTCGCTATGAGAGGATTTGGGGCAAACCTGGAGGTGGGGTGCCTCAAATGTCCCACAAAACATCTGCCAGATTTTTATGGGACACCCTGGAGATGATCATCTCGCGTCGCAGGTCCATCTGTACTTCTTGCCTATCCGGAGACTGGAAGATCCTTCTCCGCACTGAATTGATTGCCATTCGCAATTGCCTTGCCAACAGGATTTGCATTAGTTGCCGTGTGCTACTGTCACTCTTGGTTGAAACTTGAAAAAATGATTGCACCATCTTGCAGGAACGCATCAAATTCGATGCCATATGGCACATTTGGGGCACCCGTTGATCGGAGACACCAAATATGGAGGTCATGTCACGTTCTGGTGTGATCGGCTGCCATTACACTGCCTGTCCTTGGTGGCTAGGGACCTTTCGGGACAAATCCTGAAATGTTTCGCACCCATCCCTGAAGAGTTCTTGGCAGCCCTGGTTGCCGTGTGCGATGGCGAGCTGCAAGGTGAGCAGTGGCAACAACTCTTCCGCGAAAAGGGGCAGGTGATCCCAAAACCCTGATATTTCGCCATCAGGTGGGACAGAAATCATCCTGCATGAAGTCCTTGGCTTTGATGGGCGATCTGGAGATCCCTGCAGATACAGTGTGACAGCTGATTCCCAAGGCAACAACCTGGCAGATCATGGTAGATCGGCTTTGATCGCAGCTAGCGGCTAGGAGGTTGGGACACCTGGTGGATGTAAACCTGACGACTGCAGGGACTGCAGATGGTGCAAAAGTTGGCTCCCGACCTGGCCTTCGCAGATTTCTTTCATGGGAGAAGCGCCGGCAAAACGGCGTTGAGCAGCGGTAGGGGGCAACCAACACCTGGGGTATCGCCGGTCTCGCCTATGCCCACGTTGATCCAGATAGGGTCATTGCCACCGGATTCAGCTCGACAATGTTCAAATTGCATGAGTGCGCATTCAAACACAACGGCAAGCAGCTTCAATTTTGGAAAAGTATGCTGCTCGGTTCTGCGGCTGTTGATGTGCGAATGTTACAAGCCTTTCGATATTTTTCAACGTAGCCCCAGCTCCACACCCAAAACAGATACATAATTGATAAATACAAGCAATGTTCATCCGTTTTCGATCTTTACCTTGAATCTTGAGTGACGATTCGGAAAGTTGTGAAACTCTGTTAGAAGCACCTTTTGCCACACATCAGTTCCCATGGCGACCAAAAGCTGTCGCTTTTGGGCCGTGCGACTGGCAGAAGATCCCGTTCAAGTGGAGGCTGCGATCCCGTGGCTTCGGAACATCAGGAAAACCATGGAAAACCTTAATTATTGGGAGGTCAAAACGGTCAAAACATGTTTTTTTTTCTCATTGAAACATATATTGAAACATATTGAAACCAATCCTCATGCTGAAACGAATCCTGCTATTCCAATTTTGGAACTCATTTCAATCACATAGTGAGCTGAGTGAGTTGTGGCTTGTTGCTTCAAATCATGTTTGATGCGGTGCCATTGAGGTGCCACCCGGCGAAGTTTTGTGCCTCTCGCGTGCTAGGGCAGCTCAGGGCCGTGCGGAGCTGTGGAACCATCCCGAAATGGTGTGCCATGATCCGGTCATATCCGAGAAAATGTACCCTCTGGTAAATTAACGTAGCTATTGAAAATGGCCATTTATAGTGGTTGTTCCCATTAAAAATTGTGATTTTCCATCGTTATCTTGGTTTACCAGAGGGTACCATCTGGTTATGACTAACAGTTTGCATGGAAAGATCCACCCATTTTTAATAGGTGAACCATCTATAAATGGACCAGCTATACCATGGCAAACTGTTAGTCATAACCAGAGGGTAATCCATCCCCGGTTTTTTATGGCCAAATTCGCCATCCAGGTGACGTGGAAAAGCCATGATCCTGGGAATCCTGAGTGCAAAAAAACCCTTAGGCCTGTCAAAGTTCATTCGCACCTGGTGTTCTGCGATTATTGGCTGGGCAGCTCAAAGTGAAATACGATGGCTTTGGTGATGGGACTCCCCAATTTGTGGCCCGTGTTCATTGGGAAAATCACAACTGACTGAGCAGTGCAAGTCGGTTTGAGGAGAACCCATTTTTTCACAAAGCCATAGATGATGTGAGCTTTGTGTAGTGCGGTGCGCACTTCGCTGTCAATTGGCCATCCCTAAACTTGCCTCAGTCGGCCTTTTCCAGGGATGGGTTGAAACCACTAGTTGGATGTGGCTGGGAATGGTGCTACAGTATTGCTCAGAACCGTCCAAAAATGTGTCAAAACATGTCAAAACAACAAAGATGAGAAAGATAAGCCAGTTGATGGATTAGGAAATAATTACAATCAAAACAAAATCAAAACGTTATGTAGGTGGAGGCATCCTTGTCAACCCAAGTCGATTCGCACATCCTTTTCGAACGCATGAGGTGAGAGGAGTCAGTGGCAGCAAAAAGCCACCCAAAGATGTGGTGAGTGCTGACTTCGCATTCAAGATCGCCTCAGGCAGTTGCTGAGTCGCTGATGGTATTGGACCCTGCTCATCCCTGCTCCATTGTCCAACCAGATAGATGGATTGTTCTTGATATAGACTAGTGATTTGTAGTAGCTTGGCCGGTAGTGAAGAGTTTCATTATGACCATGACTTCTTGCTCTCAATGTTTCATCCTAAGTATGGTATTCCAAATTCACTGCACTGATACTGTAGCACTGCAGCAAGCCACAGCAACTCCCAAAAGAATCCAAAAGATAGGAAAACAAAATCCGACTAGAATCATGATACTGCAAAGCCCTTTAAAATCCGACTAACATAGTGATGCTTGAAGGCCCTTTGTCTACCCTTTTTTCTGGTTTTCCGATGCAGGTGGCAGCCGGTTGGGTGCTCGGTTGGCTGGTGCCTCTGGCCTCTCATGGCAGTTGCGGCTGGTAGCCAAAGGCCGCAGATGGACATGGCAGCCATGACAGCCATGAAGTCGTTGGTGTTTGGGCATGAAAGCTAGTATCCAAACATCATGTTTTCCAAGTTCATGTCTTTTAAAATCTTTTGAATACAAAATACATGTGTCAGATCTTCAAGGTTGTTCAAGATTGAGTGCTGGTCACACCACATGTCCATCAGATTTCCCCCCACATTCTCCATCCCAGAGCTTTTTCTTAGGGGTTCCCTCGGGATCTCCCTTGGACCAGGTGAAGCACCCGCTGAAGTCGACGTCCTGGGTTACTTCACCCACGTCTCTCCGGCGCGGAGGAAGCCACGGAAAAGGACGGTGGTGCCAAAGAGGTGCGAAAAAACTGGGGGTGGATTGGGGTCATGAAGCAGCCAGGAATGCTATGTGTTATGTTGATTTATGTTGCTCTTTTTGCTGGCCTTTTGGTATGATTTTGTATCAGAAAATGATATTAGACGAAAGATAATCAAAATAGCGGAAGAATTTTCAGCAAACTTCCGGGTTACGGACGAATGTCCACGGTCAGTCTGCACATCATCATGTCAATCACACGCTGGTAGTGCAAACAGCAGATCACAGCAACTGCGCATTTGCGTGCGAAAGAATGGAAGTGCGCACATCATTGTGTTTTTACAGGCATGGTGGCTCCGGGCGTTGCCAAGCGAGGGTCTGTGTTTCCACGGTTTCGGGCCCCCATTTGGACAAGCTGCGGAAAAAAGTGCACGAGACTTAGCGATAGCTTGGCCTTGTTCAAAAAACATGCTTCTCGCTGCAAGGTCCGCTTTTATCAGCTCACCTTCACCGAAGTCAAGAGCTGCCCGCCAAATTTTGCCTTTGATGACATGGCACTGGATCCATACATACGCATGTACATACACATACATGCGGCTATGCGCCTCAAATTTATTGAAGATGATCAACCTCACCCATGATTTTGATGCTAACCCACATAATGACATCATGGATGCAGCATGGTGGAGGTGATAGATATGATGGGATATGATGGGATGGTGATGGTGACTGAGGTGGGTGAAACGACGCTAAGAACTTGGTAGGGATGATTCTGGGAGTAGTTTTCCTTTTGCGCGCTGACTTGAAGTCGGAAACTGAGTCTGGGTCAAGCAGTGACCGTCTGCCAGCGGAACCAAGACAAACATGTGGCTGCTGCTTCAACTGGGGGAGCCCCAGCCCTCATCCAAAATGACCTTATAGCACTGAAACTTATCAGGAAGCCATCTCAACCAGTCAGCATTGTGTATCATGGGCAGATGTTGGTGGTGGGTTTCCACGGATCTCGCGACACCGCTAACAATGTGGCCCCCAAGCTGGCAGAAAATTGCCACTGCAAAATGGCATTGACACAATTTGACGAATCCAAACGGTGGGACGGAGCCAAATTCAGGATCATTGAAGGTGATCACTATTCCAGTCGTTGCGATGACTATCACTGGATCACGGATCATGTTGCATTTCGACCTATTGCAGTATTTATCCACATGGTACCATCATGTATGGTACCCACAGCTCGGGACTGACTTTGCCTGTCCATGGTAACATGGACGCAGATAAACCTGCTCCATGCGAACAAGGTTGAAACCTGATGATGCCAGTATGCTGGTCTCAGAGCAGAACAAGGAGGAGCTGGATGCGGTATGATGCGGTGTGATATTGGATGGGTGTCGGGTCCGTGACAGACACGGGTAAAAGAAAAAAGGCACTGAAACGGGATGTAGAGTGCGACATAAAGCGCAAGAAGCCATCAGAGCAGATGTGCATCGACTATGTGGATTTGTCAAATGCCATTTAATGCCATTCATGTATGAGGAGATTGGCGGTTTCAGTCGCTTTGGACCGACCAAGCGATGAGAACTGGGCCAACATGGGCCGACATGGGCCCGACTAAGTGAGTCACTTGAGAAGTTTTTGAGAAGCCAAGATCTGCATCGAAAGCACACAAATCTATCAGATCTACCCCTGCGTCCGTTACAGATTCGGCTGCAACCCACGAGTCAAATTGTGCCGGAACATTGCTGGAATGTGCCATGCACGACTTCAAGTCACATGGCAAGGAGATGAAAGGAGAACTCATGGCATCTCTATTTAATATCCATGTATTGTTCTTGTAAAGGCATGGCTTCACTCAAAATGCATCATATCTTTTGTCCTCAGATGCTGCAGCAAAGATTCAGACATTGTTGCTGCGCACTACTATTGTAGCATTTCTGCAACTGCACTGCAGGACAGATGATTTCAGTTTTGCATACTGGATACCAGTAGTACCGCACAAGGCGGTGGCGGAAGTTTCAGAATAGGAAACTTATAGGAGACGTTGGTTGTTGTGAATCACGGATGGCAGAGCGAATCCACTGATTGACCGAAAGGTGGTTGGAGTTGTGTTTGCTGGAGTGGTTGCAATGTTTGCAGTGGTCACCTAACCCACAACTGCTGGATGTAGTGTGATGTACTGCAACTGTAGTTGTAGTTGTAGCGTAGTGGAGTTGTAGTTGTGGTGTAATGTAATTAGTGTAGTGTAGTTGCAGTCATATAGTTGTAGCTGTAGTTGTTTTGTAGTTGTTGTTGTTGTTGTTGTTGTAGTTGTTGTTGTTGTTGTTGTTGTAGTTGTAGCTGTAGTTGTTGTGTGGTTGTAGTTGTTGTGTTGTGTTGTTGTAGTTGTAGTTGTAGTTGTAGTTGTAGTTGTAGTAGTAGTAGTAGTAGCATTAGTAGTAGTAGTTGTTGTTGTAGTTGTAGTTGTTGTTGTTGCTGTTGCTGTAGTAGTAGTAGTAGTAGTAGTAGTAGTAGTAGTAGTAGTAGTAGTAGTAGTAGTAGTAGTAG